CACGACCGATCACCAACTGCGGAAGCGAGTGTCACTGCAATCCTTCCTTCGGAGACGTACAGGTTTCACGTAGGGTGGTATCCCGGCCCCCTCCCGACCCCTGTAATCTGGTATGGGAAGCCTGTGATAGGGAGAAAAACGCGGCTTTAGGGGGAATGAAAATTTAACAGAAAGCGTAAGAGCCACCGGTCGGCTGTTATCTGGGGCTGAAGGCTGCGGTAATCGATGGGTTATTTTTACGCTGTAATAGGGCCCTGTGATTGCTCTATTAACCTTTAGACCTGTCTGAGGGACTCTCCGGCGCACAGCCCCGCTGCTCTGGGGCCTCTAGGCACTGACGCCAACTCGAAACCCCGGCCCGCCACCTTCCCTGCCCCCGCTAGAGGGAGGAAGCTAAGGCTGCAGGCAGAGCCCTCTCGGCCGGCCGAGAAGTCCCGCCGGATTGCGGAGCTCCGCAAGGCCCCGCCTTGTCCCTGGGATTAGAGCTGCGGCGCCGCAGGCTTCACTGAAAACAGAAAGATCTGAAAGGAGAGGCCGCGGGAGGTGGGAAGCGTCGCCAGGCAGGGGTGCACATTTTGCATAAATACATAAAATTGAGGGCTGGAGCCAGCGCCTCACTGACAACCTGGGAAGCTGCTGGGAAAGCGAAAAGAAGGTTTACGTCTCCGAGCTCTGATATGAGGGGCCAGTCCCAGGTTTGCTGTTTCTTACACATAACTAGAGTCCCGGGCCAGGAGGATCCCTACTAACCACTACCCCTCAGAGACCTGTAGCTTACCGGGCACTCCTGGTGACCCAGTACCCTACATCTGATCGGGGGTCACCTCCCTATCAGTTTCGCTTCTTGCCCACCGCTTTTTGGGCCGCCCAGAGGCGGGAGTGGGGGAAGGTGGGCAAGGCAGGGAGGAGGTTGGAGAGAAGGCTCATTAATAAAGCTGACCCTGGGCAAAACTGCAAACCAAATCGACCTCCGCGAGGCGGTGGGTGAAGCCCCGCGCCCTGGAGGCAGCACTTTGGCTTTTTCCGAGGAGATCTCTGCGCCTGGACTTTGCCTGCTAGGGGAGTTTTTTAAACAGCTCTGCAGCTGGACGCCCAGCGGAGTTGCAGCAGCCTGGCCGCACCCCCGCCCCCAGCCCTTGCACGTGACTCTGATAGGCCAGTCAGCTGCGGCGAGCGGGAGCGCAGGGGCCAGGGGACCCGGGCGGCGAGCTGGGGGACTTGGAGGCGGCTGGCACAGTGGCTGCCAGAGGCTCTGCCGCCGCCAAAGCTCCCGAGTCCAGGAGATCACACGCCGGCCCTCCTGGAAGCTCCAGATCCCGCAGGTACAGCTGTTTTCTTCCCGGTCCTTGCCCTTTCCCGCCAACCGCGACACTCCGAACTCCTCCGCGCTGTTTGCCTGGGAATAGAGAGGTAACTAGTAGGTGGAAAGAAGACATGAATCACTCCTCTTTCCCCGAAGTGGCCAAAGCCTGCTCTGCCTTTGGCTTAGCAGCTTCTTCAAAACAAAGTAAGATTGGGGGTGGGGGGAGATCGGAGAGCGGAGAACCATCTTCGAGGTTGCTTTTGGATTCTTTTGGGGCGAACTTGAACTTTTTAAATTCCGCCCCTGCGTGCAGATTCTCCTGCCCTTGTTTGCACCTCGCAGGCCAGGGCCTGGGTAGTGGTAGTGGTCAGGCGAAATCACCCTGACCAACTGATCCGGGACAGGCCACACGGCGGCTTGAATACGGAGGGGCCAAGACGGAGGAGTGTCGCCCATTGGCGACTCTGGGGACGCAGAGTGGCTGTGGGAGACAGAGGCCCCGGGGAGGCGCTCCGAAGTCGAACACGGCTGCTGAGCCCCTGGACTTACTATGCCTTTCTGACCAGCCTCCTCGCCTTCCTGATTGAGGTGCCGCAAACTAAACGCCCCCCCACGAAGCAACCCTACCCACCCACAGCAGTTCTGGGTGCTTCTAGCTGAGGGCTGGAACCGGGCGGAAAGCAGTGACGTCCCTCTGCTGGCCGCGGTTTGCTGCCCGGATCAGCACTATTATGTCGCTTGGCTTTGGGCTTTGGTGGTGGTGGGGTCACCCAGGGGAGAGGAGGATGCCCGAGTGATGAACTGCCACCACACTGATGGGATGAGGTGACTTTCGGTTGGGGGGAGAGGGTAGTGAGGCACCCAAGGCCTGGGGGGAATCGGGCAGCAAGGCCCGCACCGCTGGGAAGGTTGGGAAAGCGCATCACGGAAGTCTTTCCTGTGTTTCTCAGAGACGGAATGGACAGCTGGGAGCAGGTTTCAGGCTCTTAAATACAGACTGGTTTTAATGGGAGTGACGGAGTGATGCCCCCACGCCCCCATTTCTGAGTGCCTCCGTGTGTGACGGTTTTCTGCGCAGCAGGCCCAGAGCGAAGGCGCGACCTGAGCGGAGAGAGCAGGAGTGACTTGTAAATGGACGCGAACATTTTGGCGCTCTCAGTTCCCCAGCTCTCAGAAATAGATCGGAAAAAGGCGGTGGGCTAAATCACGAAGATAGAAAGCATTTCCTGTCTGGCCTGTGAAGTTGGGGTGAACTAGGATGAGCGATCTAGGGCAGAGGGAACACTGGGGTGCGGGCCTGGGCCGCCACGGCGAGGCCAGACCTCTGCCCCTCCCAGGAGCTCGCTGGCTTCCCTCTCGGGGAGCCTGGGCCCGGGCTCACTTACGGAAACAAGCAAGAGTAGTTTTAAGAAAATAGTTCATTTCTTGTTGGGTTTTTTTTTTTTCCGGAAAGCCATGGAAGGCTTTTTCCACCTTCTCCACCTTCTGTTGTCCAGTAATCCAACTCTGAGACAATGTATCAGTCATTTAAAAGGGCAGAGAGTGTAAGGCAAATGTTAGATTTATGACATTTTTAGCGCTTACATTTTAAAGCTTGCAAGTGAGCATTTGTGTGTATATTGGAAGTTGGATCACAAAATTATAAATCTTCCTTTCCTGAATTTATGTGAGAAAAAAACTCTCATGTTTTAGAACTGCAGAAGCTGAATGTTACAGAAAAAAAATAAACAGGTCAACTATTTAATTTAAAAATTAAATAATGAATATTTCACTAAGGTAAACCTATGTATTTACTTAGTGAAACCCAGAAATTCCTATGAGGTATTAGTTTTTTGCCCTCATTTTCAAAGGGGAAAGTTGGTGATCTGAGGTCAGTTTTCTTATCCACTCTCTAACCAAACTTCTTACTGAAATAAATGTCCACCAAACCAATAATTTATAGTATAGTTTAGAAAGCAAATAACAAATATTTAAGACTCAGAATGTGACTATAAAATACAGTGCTATTAATTTCATTATTTTTATTAGCAATGTTGCAAAAATGGTTAAAAGTATTAAAAAGATTCCATTTCCAGATTATTTTTTACAATAACAAAGATAACCATTTATTACAGTACATATCACAGATGAGGCACTTTCTTATGGTACATTAGAAATCTGTAAATAATAGCCAACAATTATATAGAACTATTTTGTACCTATTATAATAGTTTTACATAGATCTTGTTATAAGTGACTTTACATATATTGATTTATAATTCTTACCATGACTCTGTGAGATAGATATCTTTAATATTTGCATTTTTGCAAATGAAGAAACTGAGGCACCGAGAGGTTAAGTAATGTGTTTAAAGTCATTCATTCCATAAGCAGCAGAACCTGGATTGGGTAGATAGTTCATGTAATATCTTTGTCAGTCTACTATTGCAATGAAAAAGAAACCACTGTTAGAAGCAGCTGCCTCTTCTTAAGGAGAAAAGTGGGAGCCTAGTGGACAGCCTCACACCCGTTGGGCCCTACCAATGCCATTCCCCCACCCCCTGTAATTGTACTTAGATCTTCGACAAGTTTCCAAACCAGTGCTTCAGTTCCCTCTTTTATAAAATGAGGAGAGGTGCTTTTACTTAGTGGAGTTGTGGAGGAAAGGACCTGGAACAGAGCAGGTGCTTCGGAAAGTAGAGCTCTTACTTTATCAGGAAGAAGTGGCTGGCAGGAACAAAGCACGGGATCCAAAAATACAGTCAAGTCCTATAAACTGCTCTTTGCTGGTCTCATTGGTCTGATTCCAGACATGGGTGGGCCAGTGATTCTATGGGAAAAACCCATTCAATGAATTGGAATGGTCCAGTGAGTAGTTCCGTAAAGTGGCCTTGTCCATTTCTCTCACTTTTCTGGTTTTAGTATCCAATCTGTAAAATCTCTGAAATACAACTACTTGCAAGAAACATGTATCTTGTCTGATTTGGTGTCCACATGGTATATATAGAGTATGGATAAGAGATTTCACAATCCTTTTCACTGAGGTGTACCAGACACTGCTTGTTTATGTTTATAGAATTTTGATTCTACCTCTAGTTTAAAAAGAAAGAATTACAAACAAAAATTTCTTAGGTTGCCAGTTTTTATAAGTTTGTAATTGTCTTCCATGGGCAATGTAAAGTTCTTTCATGGCCAGATACACTTAGGAACGGGTCGAGGAACAGAGAAGATAGGTGAGTTTCTTGGGTCCCAGGCACTCCAGGGAAACCCCACACCCTTGGGCTGATAATATACTGTGACAATAAATATACTTTTAAAAAATAGGATAGAATAAAGTCCTGACAAGCAACACAAAAAAGTTGACCTAGATCACAACCCGTAATTCCATGTCCAATAATCGGGAAGCTCCCGCACATCGAAGGGACCCCCCGCTAAGGGTTGAGCCAGACCCCACGGCCTCCAGAAAAACAAAGACCGCGGCTTCCCTCGGAACCGCCCAGCTTCCGAAGCTGTGCCTGAGAGTGGCGACTGCGTGCGCAGTGCGGGAGAAGCAACTAAGCATAGGGAAAGCGGGCTCTGAAAGCTCAGAATGAACTGAACTCCCCTTTTGTCGTTCTTTTAGGACGGCGGCTACGCTAGGAGGAAAGGAGCCAGCCCGGCCCCCGGGCTTCGGAGCCAGCCTGCCGCGCCCTGCGCCCGAGGCCGCGGTGTCCTGAAGACTGAGCAGCGGCGGCTCCCGGCGTGACCCGAAGGCCCGTTTCCCACACCTGCGCCCACGCCCTACCCTGCATCTTCAGCCACCCCTAGGCGCTCGGGAACTCCAGGCCCTGGAGTGGATTTGGCCCCTCCTCCACCATCTCCTGGAACAACCAAAAATTTAATTTGGGATTTCCCTGAGTAAACAAGTCTTTTGTTCAATGATGGATTTAATACGTATATATCTTTGAAGGATTTTTTAAAAACACATTTGAATTTTGATCTTCGTTTTGGTGACAGTCCCTCACCTGTACATTATTATTTGTTTTTGTGATTATTTCTCTCTCTGCGCATTGCTCCTTGACTCACGAGGGAGAGGACTGAGGCTGAGAGCTCGCAGGGGCGATGTACCAGAGCCTGGCCATGGCCGCCAACCACGGCCCCCCTCCGGGGGCCTACGAAGCGGGCGGCCCGGGCGCCTTCATGCACAGCGCGGGCGCTGCATCCTCGCCCGTCTACGTGCCCACGCCGCGGGTGCCTTCCTCGGTGCTGGGCCTGTCCTACCTCCAGGGCGGAGGCGGAGGCGCTGCGTCCGGGGCCACCTCGGGCAGCAGCTCGGGTGCGGCCCCGTCGGGTGCTGGACCCGGGACCCAGCAGAGCAGCCCGGGCTGGAGCCAGGCGGGAGCCGAGGGAGCCGCCTACACCCCGCCGCCTGTGTCGCCGCGCTTCTCCTTCCCGGGCACCACAGGGTCCCTGGCAGCTGCTGCCGCCGCCGCCGCGGCCCGGGAAGCCGCGGCCTACAGCAGTGGCGGCGGGGCGGCGGGCGCGGGCCTGACCGGCCGCGAGCAGTACGGGCGTGCGGGCTTCGCCGGCTCCTACTCCAGCCCCTACCCGGCCTACATGGCCGACGTGGGCGCGTCCTGGGCCGCGGCCGCCGCTGCCTCTGCCGGTCCCTTCGACAGTCCGGTCTTGCACAGCCTGCCCGGCCGCACCAACCCCGCCGCTCGACACCCCAATCTCGGTGAGTACTGAGCGCGAGTACCCGGGCCAGATGAGGACCTGAACAGAGGCTGTCCAGAGCTCTGTCTGGGGCATTTAATTTTCACAGGGTGTGGGGAGGTGGGGTGGGAGGGGCGGGGGGTCGGTGTGCGTGAGTTTCCGAGGAAGGCAAACTGGAAGGTAGAAGCTGGCGGCGCGGGGCTGGTGGCGGCGAAGGTCACAGCCCCAAGGAGCCCAGATTCTGTTGAGTAAGGGCGGGCCTGCCCTCTAGATCCTTTTCTGAAGGAGAGAAGACTGCAGGTGGCAGGTTCGAATGCGTCCTCCGAGCAGCCCAGACGTCCGGCCTGGCTGGTCGTGCCGTGCACCCGGGCAGCGCCCATCAATGGGTGGCTGCGGGAGGCCGACGGGCTCACCGGAAAGGAGCAGCCCGGGAGCCCGCGGTGGAGGCCTTGGCGATCGCTGGGTTTCGGCCCCCATTTCCTCCCGGCCCTCTCTCAGAGTCCTCCGCAGGGAACTGATTACGTTGGCTTGGCAACCAAGATCTTCTGGGCCATTTGGCAGCCCAGTTGGAGGATCCCTCGGGGTGGCAGATGATTTTCCTGTCGGGGATTTCACACCGGGAACAAAGGAAAGACGAGCGTTGAAGATGGGTTGAACTGGGGCAGGCACCATGTGGGTGCCTTGGGGCCAGAACGTACCGTCGTGAGGCGCGGCTCTGCCGGGGCAGAAGTGCCCGGGGGTGCTTTTAACGCGGGCCCGGTCCGTGTCCTGGAACAGGGGAAGCTCAGAGGGCCTTCTTTGTAATGCCCGACTTAACGAAGACTTGGCCGCTGCATCCACGTGCTGAGCCTTCTCTTGTACCAAGGGCTGAGGTTAGAAATAATAATGGGCACAGTTTAACATTTCGTTTGAATGTCACACCTGGGAAAGATGCAAGGCCTGTGCCCCCTGCCCCGATTTACAGATGAACAAAATGAAGTCTAAAAATGGACCGGGCGCTTTGGGCTGGCAGGGAAAGGAAACTCGCAATCTCCAGTTAAAAATGCAAACGACCTCTGGTCCGGTAGAATTTCAGGAAGGACGGGATCGGGTGTGGACTGCGCTGGCTTTTGTGGGGGAGGGGAGGCCTAACCTGGAGAAACAAAGTTAACATTTATTGACTACCTACTAAGTGCTAAATCCTTTCGCATTTGTTCTCACTTTGAAGAGTAAAGCATGTCCCTCCCAGGTTTCCAGTCTTGGGCTGGCTCAGAGACCGGTCCAGACTTTGAAGAGCTTTTAAATCACTCTCTGACCCTGGGTGGCCAGGGAAGGTCCCTAGGGGGGGTTCAGCCAAATACACATCCCAGGTAAACTGATTAACCGTGGAAGTGGCGCCGGGTCTGAGCCTGTGGCTCCTAGTCTCCCCCTTCCCCTCGCGGGGGAGCCAGACAGCACACCCCAGGGGAGGAGGGGACCTCCGGAGCCTTTGGGGAGGACCCGAAGGAGATAGCGTTTGGGACATTTCCATACAATGGCAGCTCCGAGTGGGTGTGCGGGTGGAGTGGGCGCTTTGGGCCTGCGTTCTTAGAACTCTTGGGTTCTCTCTAGAACTGCTTTAAAAGAGATCCCCATAGTCCCACTTCTTTTAACTTGGGGGTGGGAAGGTTGCTTCCTAACCTCTGTAATCCTGGAGCAAGAATTTGGTGTTTGATTAGGGGAATAAAAGAGAAGGTCAAAAGCCAAAGATGGAGGATACTTCCTGGTCATTAGAGTTACAACAACTTTTTTTTTTTTTTTTTTTTTTAAGATACTGTGTGAGTACTTAGATTCTAAAATATAATCCATACCATGCAGGAGGGCGTTGAATAAGTAATATTCCCAAATTCCAGTGTCAACAGATGACAAGCTGACCTCCAAGGAGTACTTTCTGGCCGAGGATTGTGGCCTGTCTTCCCAGCACTCCGCTGTGTCCCCCTAGCTCAGGAAGTTCCACCTGAACACAGCCCTTGGGGTCTGGCCTAACAGCTGGTTTTTCTCTTCTGTGCATAGCCAAGTGTTTTAAATGGGCCAGTCTTGAAAGTTTCCATGTTATCTTTGTGAGGTTGAATTTGTTGGCATTCACATCTTCAGGTGGCACAGGAGAGCAAGTTAAGTTAAAGACAGTGCATGTAAATGTGTTTTTATATGTTCCTCCTATCACATGGACCCTCCTGAAAATGCCCGGTAGCTTTCTCGAGGACCACCCCGGCATATTTGCTGACAGTGTGTGATAAAAAGATGATGACAAAGAATTACTGATTCTATGATATTTATTGAGAGCTTGCTGTGTAGAGCTGCCGTCAGGCCCTAACATGGGAATGCGGTGCGGTGGAATACTCAGGCAAACCTAGGTTCAATTGAAGAGGCCCCCATGGTCTTGGTTGGGCAAGTTACTTCCCTCTCTCGGTCTCTTCTCTTTTTTCTTTAGAAAAGGATAATTATAACTACTTTTAGTGTTGTCTCAAATTAGAAAAATAAGGTGATGAAGTATTTGGCTTTGCCGCCCCATACTATTTTATTAAATGGTCACCTGCTGTCATATAGAGTGACCAGTTTTCCTGATTTGCTCAGGACTGATGGGGTTTTCCAGGACTTGGGAATTTTAGTGCTAAACCCAGAACAGCCCCTAATAAAGCGGAATGATTTGTCATCCTAAACAGACCTGAATATGGTTAAATGACCAAGCAGCGTGCCACAGTACTGAGCTCAGAGTGAAGGAGAGGAGACTGGTTGTTCTTCCCTTTGTCTAGGAATATGGAAGTCTTCACCTAAGTGATGCCATCTGCATTTGGCCTTGAAGGATGAGTAGAAGTTTGTCAGGAAAAGCACATGCAATTTAAAAAGAAAAAAAGAAAAAGAACAGTTACTCCTTTGTTTACCATCACATTCTGTAGTACCATGAACTAATACAACGCAGCTTGACTTTTGCTTAAATAACATTTATCACTACAGGTAAAATCACACAGACTGACTCACCCTTCACTCAAAAACTGTTTGGCATTTCAATGAGAAGAAATAAGAGAACTTCATTTTTCTATGAAGTATTAATCACCTTAGTATTAACAATAGATAATATCTTGCCAGAGTTCTTATGTTGGTGTTTTTGAGTAAGACAAAAATCAAAGTAAGAAAAGCTACTCAAGGGTGCACTGAGGTTGGAAGGCATTATTCTACCGTGGCTACAGTGTATGTGAGCTTTAATGCATTCCGAGTTCAGCATGTGCCATGACCCTAAAACAGCAGTTGAAATCGTTAATTAGGCTGCATTGATGGAATTATGTGACCTTACTGAGGGCAGGTACAGAGTCTTGCTCATATTTACGTGCCTGGCACATGTTGGGCACTTAGCAAATATTTGAGTAGAGATCCAGGAGGCAATTGCCTCACTACTCTGCCCGGGTCAAACCACGCACAATGGCTGCTTAGAAGGCCCACTGGAGAGCCACAGGGAAGAGAGGACTGGGTGGGAGAGGGTTCTGGAAACTTTGGGAAACCACTGGAACTGTTTAGATTGGAGAAGTCACAAGGTGGATAAGAGGGTGAGAGTGACTGTGTACAGGTATCTAAAAGGCAACAGTCTTTGGCCTTCTAACTTTGTGTTGCTTCAGGGAGCAGGTATGAGGTTTGAGAAGAGTGCTTTCTCATACTTGATTGTAGTTATTGAAATGGAATATGGCTTGCCTTAGTAATAGACCCCTGGGCACTGGAAGTGCTTAAGGAGAGACTTCATTGCCATCTGCCAGTGGCGCTCTGCAAAGAATTCTTACATTTCAAGAGCTCAGGCCTATGTTTGTGTTCATGTGAAACAGACATAGCAGGATAATGTATGTCTCCTTTTAAAGAATCCAATCCCAGTGGTTATGCAGGTAGAGCAATTTGTCAAAACTGATAGAAATATATTGCTAAAGCAGGAGTATTTTACTGAATGTCCATTACACTACAATAAAGTTGATTTTTGTACCAATTAATGCTTGTAAATAAGGCTGAAAAGGAGACAATGGAAATTATATGTATGGGAGAGGGGGAATAAGGAGACTAAAAGGTAATGTAAAAATATACAATAAAGATTGAATTAAAAAAAAAGGAAGTATATGTAAATATGCCTTGAAGGAAATGGCATTGTGGTGTATGTTATTGGAAAAACTATGAAAATATATTTAATTATAAAATAAGTCCTTTTGTGTAATAGAGAAATAACCAGTTATATTATTTTCAAAGGACCTGAAAACTTTTGCATCATTTTAAGGATTGGTTAAAAAAAAAAATAACAGTGAAATTCATGTGTATCACTCAGTGTTACCCAGATGGTTTCTTTAAAAGCTTTGCCTCTTTTGCAGTATTCTAAGAGTTTGTTTATGGTATAGGTAGGGGAAAATTCTGACGTGTTTTCTGGATCTTTTGGGAACTACTTACCAATGAGGCCAGTTGCTTTGAGAGCTAGTTCATTTATACAGGGAACTTTGTGAGATCAACTTTTTTTTCCCTTAAGTTCAAGTCTTAAGTAGCGTGTTTGGCTAGAGAATGATTTGTCAGTCTTTGAGAAAACCAGCACTGTTTAACTTTCCGGTTACCACCCTGAGCAGGTCAGCCAGAGAGCTGGGCTGGTCCGTGGTGCTCAGCTGTGAACCAATTAAATGGAAAAGGTGTGTGGGGGTGGCCAGGGGTGTGTCACGGCTTCTAGTGAGACCTGTCACCTGCCCAATTGTGTCCCATCAAAAGGTCAGGCCTCATTTGCTAGTCACTTTCTAAGCACTCAGGTGGAATGATGCATGCACAGGAGACAGTTTTAGATAACACTTTCTTCTGAATTCCTCCCCATTTTTTTAAAAACTTAAATTAGCTAAGAAAACAAACATACTCTGAGAGGTGGGGAAACAGGAACTCTGATACCTGAGGGTGAGGGTGTAAATTGGTACAACCTGTATGGCGAGCCCTTGGTGACAGCCGACAAGTCACAAAATAGATACTCTTGATCCAGAAATGTAACTTCTAGGAATGTAT